TGACTGCAAGTGGACTGGACTGGTTAACAAGGGCATTCTGGTTAATGTTACACAGCAAATATTTAGAGAGTAGCCATTTTCACCCTTGAACATTTTAACATTTAAAGATCCAAATGGATTTGAATGTTTCTAATCCATGTTCACCAACAAAAGATATAAATTAAAACACGCACACATAAAAAGCAAAATATCCCCTCTAAAACTGGGATTATTCTTAATGTAAAGTTTAGCAAAGAAGTTCTAGCAACTCATCAATACTATGACTTTACTTTGTAATCTAAAGGTCCTTGGTCATTAACAGCTTGCTCTTGACTACTAACTGAAACGTTGATGGTTTGAACCCACCCATGGGCTCCCTGGGAAAAAAGCCCTGTCAATTGACTTCTGTGAAGATTAAAGCCAATGAAACACTATGGAGCTTCACTCTATAGTTGCCATGAGTTGAACTTGACTTGAAGGCAATGACTTTATGATGATTAAAAAGCTGAATCACACTCTGGTGTTCATAGTGTGTTCATAGTGTGTTCATACTCATCACATACTCTGAAAGTGTTCTCAGCCTACCAACAGTTTTTTTTCTCCATATAGTTTGCTATCATCCGTTGCCTCAGGACTTAGCAAGAAATCACAGGGCTGATAGCACTTGCTACTACTACTATCAGCTTGGACAGCACTCTGTCTCCCAATAATCCTTCTTCCTTAAGTGAAAATAAAAGAAACTTTTTTGATTAAAAAAATTCACAACCTAACAACAAAAAACGACTCAATGGAAAAAAGTGGGCAAAGGACTAGAACACACATTTCTCCATAGAAGAACTACAAATGACCTGCAAGTACATCAAAAGATGCTCAACACCATTAGTCGTTTATTGTTGTTGTCTGTCGTCAAGTTGGTTCTGACTCATAGTGACCCTGTGTAAGATTTCTGAGAGAGGCTGGTGGGTTTAAACGTCAAGTCTGCAGTTAGCAGTCCAGTGCCCAGTCATTAGGAAAATGCAAATCAAAACCATAATGAAATTCTCCTAGGACATCCCTTGCTACCCTTAAAGAATTTGCATATGTATTGTTATGTAGCACTGGTAGTGTAGTGGTTGCCAATCGGGCTGAGAACCACAAGGTCAGCAGTTCGAAACTACCAGCTGTTCTGCGGGAGAAAGAAGAGGCAGTCTGCTCCCGTAAAGATTTACAGCCTCAGAAACCCTGTGCATGGTCACTATGAGTCGGAACTGACTCCACAGCACATAACAACAACAACAACAATTGTTATGTAAAGAAAAAGATAATCCATGGTGTAATTTTCCTGGCCTTTTTCTCACCAATGCAGTTTTTCATTTTTTAAAAACTTTCTTCCCTGGATTGTCCTGTATCCTCTGAGAAAATCTATCAAGATTACTCAAATCTAATCCCTCCAAATCAGCCAACATAACCTTCTGAGCTGATCTATTTGCCTTGACTTTAATTGGACCAGCAAATCCCCTAGGAAGACAGTTTTAACTGGACCTTCTTTTTTGAAGGCATTCTAACAAAACTAGGACATGTGTATGACTGAGAGAACTTGTCTACAACCAATCCTGGTTACAGAAACATGCTTACATTAAGAAAAACAAAAACACATTTTAAAAATTTTAATTCGTTCATGTATGAACCGGAAACCTAGTAGCAATAAGTTTTGACTTGCCCTTCTCCGTATATGCTATGTGCTATCACTACTGCTAAAAAGACAATACCCATGTGGGAATGAATCAAGGGTCTCAGTCACAGTCCTGAATTGTCTTCGCTGATAGCAAAATGCAATTTATCGCCATTAAATGAAAACAACAAACATATACTTTAACCCCACCCCAGCCCCCACCAGGCTCTGAATTCTGCAAACACAGAAATCTTTGAACTAAATTCTATTCAGGAGTCATGTAACATTTTTCACACTCAATTTAATGAAAATATTATTTCATTTACTTTGTTTTAAGGACTTAGTAAAGGAGATATTAGAATACATAAGGCATTATTACTTCAATGAAGTTTAAAAGCTGTCAAATTATTTTGTCATCATTTGCATATTTGTGCTATTGCCCTCTAAGGAAGGAGACCTGGTGGTGCCATGGTTAGGGTACCTGGGAGCTAATTGAAAGGTTTGAAGCCACCAGTGGCTCTGGAGGAGAAATACGTGGCAATGTGCTTCCATAAAGATTTGTAGCCTTGGAAACCCTATGGGGCAGTTCTGTTCTGCCCTGTAGGGCCGCTGTGATTTGGAAGAGCTTGAACAGCAATAGGCTTGGTTTGGGTTGGTCATTTATTGAATAATACTTTAAGCAACCCTAGTGAGAGCAGTTAAGGACATCTCCCGGCCATTCTTTGGGAAGCTGAGATAGTAGCCTTTCCCAAAGGAGATGCTTAATTAACTTTAGTCTTAAGAGAAAATCTGAGTGCTGAGATATAAAGACACGGAGTTGAACTGGAAATTAGAAGCACTTATGGAAGACTGAGACTTTGGACCTTATCTTCTGTTTTCTCATCTGTAAAATGAGGAGATTAGATTGGATTATCTCTAAAGTTCTGTTAATTTCTAACATCTCTACTCTGAGGAATCTAGGAATATGAATTTTACTGCTTCTCACACTTATTAAATATACCATTCAAGGCCTCTTTCTTTCTAAATGCAACGTGCTGACAATATATTCTATATTCAGCAAGCAGTACATGAGTGTTCCCAACTGCAATACATTACATTGACAACCTATTATTGCCTTAGAGTAACATCTCTGTGCCCCCTGCTTCATAATTAACTTTAATCTATGATAATTGCCTGCTGTTAATAAGATTGAGCATGTCTACTGACTTCTCTTTTTGGTGTTCCTGGACTATAATCATATCTAATGTGCAACTAATGATAGCTCATTGTAAATTGTGAACCCAGTAGGTACTCAGCAATTATTTACTGCCTAAGAGATCACAGACTACTATCAGTCTTCCACTAATTTTCTTTGTGACCCACATCATTTAACCTTTCTGAGCCTTAATTTCCTCTTTTGTGAAATGTGTGGGTTCAACTGGAACAATGAATTTTAAAATGTGTTCAAACTACTTGGCTGAGAATTTCCTGAGGTTCCTTCCACCCATAAGGTTTTTTGAGTTTCATATGTGCCAACAAAATTTAAAAAAGAGAAATCATGAAAACATTATTAAGTTACATAAGACAGTCCTGGTATGGTGCTGTAGGATAAGCACTGGACTGCTAAGCAGTTGCTCCTTGGAAATCCTACACAGGTGGCTATGAGGGGGAAACAACTCAATGGCATTTCACCACCGCAATAGCAACCATGTGTAATGATATAAAAAACTTCATACAGCTACAGATAACAATTGGATTATATTATTTGACACATACTATTGAAAGAATTATCAAATCATTAGTCCAGCATCTTGCAGGGAACAGCAAACGATTAAAGGAAATGAGTATCACTCAATTTCCACTGACTGGTAGTGCAGTAGTTACGAATCGGGCTGCTAACCTCAAGGTCAGCAGTTCGAAACTATCAGCTGTTCTGTGGGAGAAAGATGAGGCTTTCTGCTCCGTAAAGATTTACAGCCTTGGAAACCCTGTACAGGGTCGCTATGAGTCAGAACTGACTCCATGGCACATAACAACAACAACCAGAAAATACATGCTTCCATAATCAAGTGCCAAATATTGTTCTTGATGAATCTAATGAAAAGGATTTAACTTTTTTATTTTTAATTAACTTTTATTAATAAGTTTTAATCAATTCTAGAGACAAAAGAATTAACATCAATACTACTATGTATATATATATATATAAACAGACAGATAAATCATATACTTCCTCTATGTCTCAAACCACTCCTTTTATCTGCTTTAGTTGAACCTGAAGGAAATTGGATTTCTTTTAGCTGCTTTACCAAACAAACAAACAAAAACAGAGCTAAAAATCAGTTCTTCCACTGGTCCATCATGGTCAGCTAAGCAAAACCAGAACAAACTTGAATTTGTAAAATGTCAGTATGCTGGAACAATAGCTAGAATGGAAAAAATATGGGTCAACACCCTGCTAGAAATTTAATCTCCCTCTTAAAAAATGAGGGTAGCATACATATTACATAGCAACCAAATCTCTTGATTGGCTGAGTCAGAAACAATGGTGGCCAGCTCAAAGATGGCACTACTTTGAATATGTCTCATTCTTCACAGTCTTGGCAATAAAGCCAGTCTTCCATATCAGACTTCTGAAAGGAATCACTGGGTCTTTTCCTGGTCTCCCATTCCAGGGTTTCAGTGTGTAATTTTTTCCATCCTAGTCATAGTCAGACTCCTGATGTGTCACTGACTGATAAGCACTGGACTGTGAACCACAGGGCAGTGGTTCAAATTCACCAGCTTCTTCTTGGAAACCTTACACAGGGTTGTCATGAATTAGAATAGATTTGGCAGCACTTAACAGCAACAGTCATTGTTCTGGTATACCCACATTTTACAAATTTGGCTCTGTTGCAAATTCACTATATCAGCAGCCATGATTGAACCATTTCAAATCACTTTGAAGCTCTAAAAAAAACCTCAATCTATTGTCAATGAGTCAATTCTAACTCATGCTGACCCAAGGTGTTACAAAGTAGAACTGAGTTTATTGGGTTTTCTTGACTGTAGTCTTTACAGGAACAGAACACCAGGTCTTTCTTCCACAGCAGCACTGGGTACATTTAACCAGTCAACTAGTTAGTTAGTTGTTGTTGTTGTTAAGTGTCCTTGAATTGGTTCCGACCCATAGCAACCCTATATAGGCTCAAGTACAGACCATTTACAACACCTAGGAATGCTATTGCTACTAACAAATAGATTTCAGAGCTTCTAGAAACATAAAATTATGGTTTTTCAATGACATATTCAATTTGCTGGTAGAATGATGATAATCTATTTATTGTCATATTGTGATTAGCAAAGGATAAACACAACAAAAGAGAAACAAATAACATCTTTCTCTTACCCAGTGATCTTTTTGACAGCTTTGGGGCTTACATTAATAAGCTCATCAAGACTTTGTTCACTTCTAAAATAAAAGGGGGAAAAAAGGTTAAATTTCATTGGAAATCAACAAACTTCATGACTGGCTTTATTTATTTATTTTTTTATGAATCATGGGATCCCAGAGTAAAAAGTAATGTTTACTGACTTCTAATTTATATATATTAATTATATCATTTTAAATCTACATAACAGCCTGGTATATATGGTAGGGCTCAACATGCCCCCTTTATAAATTTCAGAGAGGTTAAGACACTCCCTGAAGGAAACTTGTGAACTCAGGAGCCCATGGACACTGACCTAACCACTGGGGGCTAGAATTGAGAGTGAAGGGAACAGCTGGTCTGAAGTGGGGGAATGGTGTGTGAGAGTACCCAAACTTGTAGATGGTACCCATTTGGCCTAGCTTGGATGGCTTACTGAGTAGAACTTGAACAGCTGAAAATAAAGAAGTTTGATACAGGAACCAAGCATAAATTGCTACAATTTGATAAACTAGATCTTGTTTATAGATGTTTGTTGTTGTTTAAGTACCATGGAGTCAGTTCCAACTCATAGTGACCCTGCACAGTGTCTCCAAGGCTGCAAATCTTTACAGGAACAGAAAGCCTTATCTTTCTCCCATGGAACAGCTGGTAGTTTCGAATTGCTGACCTTGAAGTTAGCAGCCCGATTCATAACCACTACGCTACCAGAGTTGCTCAAAATTCCAACTGAAAAGGATGGATTTTCCATATCAAAGATCAAGCCTGTCCTCTCAGTACACAAGATTGATAAGGATGGGCAACTTAGACATTGACTACTAAAAATGGGGGACTATAAAGGCACAAAGTGGCTGGCTTACAAGATTTCAAGAGTATGCATGCAGTTTCAGAACAAGGGGGTCAAGGAAGAATCCCCATTGAATACTTTTCCTCTTGCTCAGATGGCTAAGGGAATGGGGGAGGATGGGGATAGGATTCTTTTGATTCAACAGTGAGTAATTGTTATCATGACTACTTGCAACTGTCACAACTATAAATGTAGAAGTTATGTAACTAAAAGGGGGAAGTAGTTAATCTTCCATTTCAGGGTCAGAGGACCCTGGGACCAGCAAGAGGGAAGAGCATGAGTGGAGCATGGGATCCTAACCAGAAAAGCAAAGACAGCAAAGACAGAAACAGAGACTATGGCATCCCATGGAATGAGAAAGGCCGTATGCCTGTGGGAAGGAGACTTGGCTCCAAAATGTGCCCTTTGGACATTTATATGAATATTTACTTTCTGTGTGCTTTGTGTACATCAAAATAAATAAATAAATAAAGGGAATTACGGTAAATAGTATTAACTGCTGGTGAATGGAGGAGATTGCAATCAAACAAAATATGATTTGTTGAATGTAAAACTGATGATCTGCCTTGTAAACTATCACTCAGTTCACAATAAAAGCTTTAAAACATGAGTTTTAAAACACTCCCTGGTGTCACATACATCCTCCTCTCTCACCTACATGAAATACATAAGAATTGTCTGAGAGTAACCCAACACTGAAACCACAGCAAGCAAACCAAAGCCCCAGACGCCTTTTCCATAACAACTTGGCTGTCTCCCAGGTTCACAACAATTCCTTACATCTACCCAATGCTTTCTACTAACATTTTCTTCACAATAATTCTATGGCAGGTAGCATACAACTATTTGGAGTTCCTCTGACATGTTTTTCTTAACTCTTGATTCTGTGTCTTGACATGTCAAGAAGACAGAAGTAAATTAAATTGTATGCATGAATATTGCAAACAAATATGAAAGAGACAACAGTAACCATTTTTTTCAGAAGTAGTTAAAATTGACCATTGGTTCTGTGAGAGTAAAAAGCCAAAACCTTGTTATTCAGTTTCATGAACTTGTATTTATGAACATTAAATTTACAGTTATAATATAGTTATGTTACCATTGCATTGGAAGGAATCTCTGAAGTAGTATTTATATAGAATTAACTTCAATGTAATAATTTTAAACAATGAGATAAGCGAAAATTTTAATTTAAAAATCTTATCCTGCATTCTGACACATCAACAAATTAGTTTGCTCCCTATCATTTTTATATCTCCTTTCAAAAATTATCTTTTTTGGGGGTGGGAGGCATATATTGGAGAGTTGCTCAGGAGTCTTTTAATAATTTCACCTTGCATTTGCTGAGGGATTCGCTTTGATAAGAATGTCCAGGTCTTGGTTCCTAAAAAAGATTTATAATTTTTAATGGATGATAAAGTCAACTAAATTAGTAATTGTGTATTTTTAACCTTCATTTTGAATCAAATGACTATTAATCATTTAAGTTTCCATTACTGAAATTCTCTTCAATATTCTCTATAAAAACAGTTGGGTATTATCAATTATACAATATCTACAACTACAACTGGGAAGCACGTTGACTCTGTAGATTAAGCACTGGACTGTGACTCAAAAGATGAGCAGTTCAAGCCCACCAGCCACTAGCAGGAGAAAGATGAGGCTTTCTGCTCCTGCAAAGATTTACAACCTCAAAATCCCTACAGAGGATTGCTGTGATTTGGAATTGAGCCAATGGCACTTAACAACAACTACAATTAAATGAGAATTTAATTTTTACTTACTTTTCACTTTAATCTTTAAGCAGAATTACACTTAAACTCTCTTTTTTTATATACTATATTTGTATGGTTGTAAAGCCTTTAGAATATTTTTGGATATTGCACTGCACAAGAGAAAACGATAAAACTAAACATCATTTGGACTTTAGGATCAGCACTGGACTGTGAACCATAAAGTCAGCGATTCAAGCCCACTACCTGCTCCTCGGAGTTGGAACTGACTCGATGACACTTAACAACAACAATGTACATCATTTATATTTCCTGCATCCCCTCCAAAAAAAGTCCAATAATTAATCAGAAATTTAATTCTTACAAGAATCACTTTGCAGATAAAGAAAATTAGTCTTAAAAGAAGTTTAGCAATTTGTTCAGAGCAGAAAGCTAATAGCTGTTGTTTAAGCTAAAAAAAGCTCAATATTAAGTGGAAAAGATGGACACACAGTTGAATGCAAAACATGTGTAAACTACAGTAGAGGTTCAAACACAACCCAGGAAAGACCATGTAATTAAGCCACCTGAACCTCATTGAGAAATGAAGCCATTTTGGAAGGGAACCAAGGAACACCTGTCTTTTGCTAACTATTAATCTATAATGAAATCAACACATTCATATTGTATTTTTAATAAATGTAACATTGCTGTTGTTAAGTGCCATCAAGTCAATTCCTACTGATAGCGACACTGTAGAGAGTTTCCAAGGAGAAGCTGGTAAGTCTGAATTGCTGACTTTGAGGTTAACAGTCTAGTGCTCTTCTCCAGTGCCACACCAGGACGCCAATACATGTAATATGGTCTCTGAATTCAATATCTGGCCTTCAGATAATCACAGTAAAATTACATTCTCATTTGGTAAACCAAATCTAAGGACAATTTTGTACTATATATTAAGATAAAAGAATGTTCATCAGAATAAACATAAAGTGAATGAAACAATATATGCACAAAATAAGGGATGAGGAAAATGGCAGGCTGCATTTTGGAAGCAGCTTCATCTGATTCCAGAGTTGATCCTCCTCATTCACCTACATGAAATAGAATCTAGTGCAAAGGCCAGCAAAACCATGGCCCTCATGCAAAATCTAGATGCCATCTGTTTTCATAAACAAGGCTTAACACAGCAATGTCCATTGCTTTACAACATATTACCCGAATTGCTTTTATATAACCTTTCTAGTCATGGCCTTATTGTTGTTGTTGTTGTTAAGTGCTGTTGAGTCAGTTCCGACCCATAGCGACCCTGTACAGGGTGTCCGAGGCTGTAAATCTTTACAGGAGTAAAAAGCCTCATCTTTCTCTCGCGGAGCTGCTGGTAGTCTCGAACTGCTGACCTTAAGGTTCGCAGCCCCATTCGTAACCACTACGCTATCAGAGCTCCTTTATAACGCCCACAAAATGATTGGCTGAGACAATTGCAAATGAGGTATGTAAAACTCTTGCAGGGATTGGACAGCAACTATACAAACCAGGTGTCTGTGGTCTGTCTAATTAAGGGGATTGGTCAATTTTGCAATCTTGCTAGACTCAAAAGATAGAATTCCAGAGAGGTTAAAGGCATCCTCACTAACAACAAAAAGAAGAGTCTGGAACAGAAACCATACTTTGAACCAAAGACCTGGGGTCCTTGAGCTGAGAGCCTCCTAGACAAACGAGCAAACTCTAAACAGTGACAGCACAAATGTGGTTGCCTGGCCCTTGGAGTGAGAACTAAGTGCCTTCAGGCAAGAGCTTGCAATAGAGCTAAAAGAGCTGTAACACTTGTTCAGGACAAGAGAGAACTGAATGTGCCTTCTCCTGCCTCTAACCCACACTCTCGGGCTCAAAGAGAGCCCTGCAGGGCCCAGTAATATGTCTGATGCCAGCAGCAGTCTTAGAAGGGTCCAGAGCCAGAGGCTCAGCAAGGGTCTTCCAGCTGGTAGCCAGGCCCAGTGAGGTCCAGCAGCAGAGCAGAAACCTCAGGTGCCATGCAGGCCCCCTGCACAGCGTGGTGGTAGCTGGAGCCAGTAGTGACATGAATAGCACCATAGCACCCCTGTGCAGTGACAAAGAATTGACATGGGTAATTTGGAGAAGGATAAGTCATCCTCCTTTGGAAATCTGTTATTATTTAATATTTGCTTTCTATAAGTAATAATCAGGGCTTTCATTTTGCAAATGCTGTGTAAGTGGACTATGTGTTCTGCTCAGTCATACATGGATGTAGTATTGGTAAAATGGATGACAGCAGAGAGTGTATGTGCCTCATACCTGGCAGTCTCATGACTGCCTGGAGGTTAGAAGTACAGCCTGTCTGCATGTGCAAAGCAGATAGACAGACATGTGCATATATGATCTATGGCTGCTTTTGCACTATACAGAGAAGAATAGTTGAAACAGAGATTGCTTGATCCCCCAAAGCCTGAAATATATACTTTAAGAAAAAGTTTGCTCATCCCTGGGATAGTCTAAATAAACTCTCTATGTTGCATTTCCATATGCAAAATAAGATAGGAATTATGTCAGAAGGAAAATTACTATCTTGGTATTTTTTATACCTAATTCAGGTTCAAATTAGTATGTCAATCTATGCTTTCAGCTTCATGTTTTTGTTATATCTGAATGTTTGTGTCACACAATATGCTGTAAAGAAAATTCTCTCTACATTGAACACAAATGTCATACCTTGTGTTCACTATTATATCAATGAACTGAATGTAATTTTTTAAGAATGACCTCTCAACTTTAGGAATTGTTTGGGTGAGAGAGGATAAATGATAGAGGGAGAAAAGAGAACTTTATTTCATTTGAAGATGCTTCATTAGGGTGCTGAGCTATAGGAAATTGTTTTAAGGTATTGTTTCATCCTGTATGTTAAATCCTACTCATTTTGAGAAAATCTGAAGTGGTAAGGAATCATTCCTGCATTTTATGAAATTCTCTCCCCTCTGTTAAAGCCCACAACCAAGGAGACTGGAGAAGGGACTTGAACACCAGCGTTCAGATGCAAACCAGTGGGTTCCATCACCGGTTGCTTCTATGGTGCGTCAATACATTTCATCTTATTTTTTAAAGTTGAATTTAAAAAGCAGAGATAGAGAAGAGTTCCATAAGCTCACCCTCGGTTAGTTCTATTTGCTTCAGGAACTTCTTTGATGAGATGATCAAGACCTTGGCCCCTTTATATATGAGAATAAATGACCAGGTTAGTGATAGAGTTAAATCAACTGATTGTAAATATTTATTAAAACTGAGAAACAATTTGTATTACAAAATATTTGAAAATATTTATTAAAACAGACCATCTTAAAAGCTGACCTTTTTTGGGGATGGTATGGAATGTAGTACTTGTGTGGCACTGTAGGAAAAGCACTGGACTGCTAGCCACAAGATCGGTGGCTTTACAATTAACAACAACAACACGTATATGTATTTAGACCTAACTATTACTGCAGTGTGTGGCACTGTGGGCTAACGCGTCAGACTGCAAAGTCATTTGAACTGCAAGGTCAGTGGTTCAAGCTCACCAGCTTCTCCTGGGAAACCCTATACAGGGTCACTATGGGTCGGAATCGACTCGACGGCACTTAACAACAACATTACTGCAGTGTAGAATAAGCATTGGACTGTTAACTGTAAGATCGGCGGTTCAAACCCACCAGCTGCTCCTTGGAAACCCTGTATAGGGTTGCTATGAGTCAAAACCAACTGGACAGCACTTAATAACAACAGCATCAATGTTTAAAAATAATGAACAATAATAGCAAATGCTTTTAGAAAATTCATGATCTGCCAGGTACTACTCTAAGTGATTTATATAATTGAATCATTGCAACAATCCTATTATGTAAAAAATATTATTATACCAATTTCACAATAGAAAAAACAGACACAGAAAAGTTAAGTAAACTTTCCCATTTGATTAGTGGTAGATGGAACTGGAATTTAAACCTATGAAATTTACTACCTCATTGGAACTTAACTGAATTACTGTCAGAAGTGACTAGAGGGCATCTGGTCCAATTCCTTCAATTTATAAATGAAAAACCTGAAGTCCAAATGGAAAATGACTATTCTGAGGTCCCACAGTGGGGGGAGAGCCAGGCCCAGAACATATATCTATGGCTCTCAGATAGTTCTATTGCCCCTATACTCGTCATTTCTTCTATATTTGTCATTAAGTAAATAAACACATAGAAACATAAAAATGTCTTGTCCATCTTAAGGTAACAATGGACCAAGTTAATCACCCCCACTCCAAAAACACCAAACCCATGGCCACTAAGCCTATTTCAATTCATTGCGGCCCCATAAGACCTAGTAGAACTGCCCCACAGGTTTCAGAGTCTGTTCCTCTACTACAGCATAAATTAATTGACCTAATCATCATCATTTTCAGGTAAAATGTCAAACTTTCATGAGTTTTCTTGAACTATCTCTAGGTTTATCTAGCATTACTAAGATAAAATGACAAAACAATTATACTTTTAAGCATTAAAATGAAAAAGAGGAACATATTAAATCTTACCCTTGGGCACTTTTTGCTGTCCTTGGTTTTACTTTGATTAGATTATCAAGGTCTTCAGTGCTTTAAACGAAAAGAAAAACATCATAAGCAAAATGTAATTAAATCAAAGATTATTTTAAGAACTAGATGTGAGATGAACTTTACTCCCAAATTCTGAGAGAAATAAGTACCAGTCTGACTTACTTATCTAGTGATCCTATAACAGAAATACTGCAATTGGGTGGCTTTAACAAGAATCTGTTTTCTCAAAGTTTGTGAAAAATCAGAATTCAGAGTGCCCACTCAAAGGAAAAGGCTTTCTCTTTGTTTGTAGAAAACCTTTTTCTCTTTTGAGCTTCTGATCCTGGAAGGTCTTCATGTGATTTGGCATCTCTTTTCCTCCATCTTCGATTGTCTAATCTGATCTTTGTATGTTCTGTAAGAAATTGCCTCAAGAATATACCAAACACAAGCCATTCCCAAATGAGATCATAACCACAGGCACAAAGATAAGGATTCATGACACATACTTTTCAGGGACAGAATTCAATACATAATATTTTACCTTTCAGCATCACAAAATGTCTTTCTTTCTACATTTCCTACATGCAAAACATATTCACCCCATCATATTATCACAAAACTCTTAAATCAACTCCAAACCCCAAAATCTCATCTTCTGAATCATCTAAATTAAATATGGGTAAGACTTCAGGTATATCCTATCCTGGGGTAAAATTCCTCTTTATCTATAAACCTGTGAAATCTAGAATACAAGCTATTTATTTCCAAAGTACAATGGTCGTACAAGTTAGATATTTCCATTACAAATAGGAGAAATTGGAAGGAAAGAAGGTATTAACAGCTACCACGCAAATCTAAACCCCAACAGAATTATTTATATTAGCTCTCAAATCATTTAAAAGATGGACAATGAATCAGGAAGACCGGAGAAGAATCAATGCATTTAAATTATGGTGTTGGAGGGGAATGTTAAAAGTACCGTGAACTGCTAAAAGAGCAAATAAATCTGTGTTAGAAGAAGTACAGCCAGAATGCTCCTTAGAAGGAAGGGGGATGAGCCTACATTTCTCATACTTCAAAAATGTTATCATGAGGGACCAGTCCCTCAAGAAGGGCAACATGCTTAGTAAAGTGGAGGGTCAGCGAAAAAGAGGAAGACTCCTAAATAGATGGATTGATACAGAGGCATCAGCAATGGGCTCAAATCTATCAATTGTGAGGATGGCTCAGAACTGGGCAGTGGGTCCTTCTGTTGTACATAGATAGGGTCACTATGAGTTGCAGCCGGCTTGATGACACCTAATAAAAACGATAGCTCAAGACTCTGTTCTCTGACATCATCTGGGCAGTGATCCCACCTCCAGGTACTCCATGGAGGCCCACTGGGGTAGCAGCTCTCCTCCCTAGACTTTGGGCAATGCCATCCATTCTCCTAGTCCATCTGAGTGGCAACACCACTCTCTCATCTTTGGTAAGCCCTGTTCTTCTACCCCTTTAGCATGGAAGTCCCACTACACTCAACTTTGTGTAGTGACCCTATCCCTCTGGCACTAATGTATAGCAGCCCCACACACTGGAATCAAGTTGGTAAAGTCTGTCTCTTTGAATTTTAGGGGCCACGATTCCACCCTTTAAAACCAATGGAGCTTTGTTTCCTGTGCTTCTTACAAAATTTCTTCTTGTTTTTATTTAGTGCTGTCTAGTCAGTTCTGCCTCATAGCAAACCTGTATAGTGTTTCTTCTTTAGGAGGACAACAAATGTAATTCCTTTGGCCTGTTTCCTGCCTGTAAATTTCCAAAAGGCAGACAGCATTCTTTCCTTTTGTTCTTCCTCTGTCCCCTTCAGTCTAAACTGATGAGTTTCTCCTGTGGTAGTTGGAATGTCTGGAACAGAACTCACCCTTGTGGCCCAATTTTCAGCCAAGCAGTAAATAGGTATATAAATGAGACAATAACACTTGTAAAGTATGCTCACCATGGAATGGTCAATCAGTCAGTATCAATGAAACAATCACAAGCTTATTGTTATTAACAAAGATCATGTAGCCATGTCCTTAATGTCCTTGAAAAAATTCTAAGACACATGTCCTTCATTTGTACAACAGCATTTTCTAAATCTAAGCTTTACTTCCATTTTTCACAGTCATTTTTAAGTCCATCTCCTTCCTATTATGTTTTACTACAAGTGTTGTTGTTGTTGTTGTCAGGTGCCATCGAGTCGGAACCGACTCATAGCGACTCCATGCACTTGACTTTACTACAAGTAGCAAAGAGAAATTCTTTAAGATCTTGCTTAGCAATCTCCTCAGCAAAATATTTAATTCTATCACTTGCAAGTTCTATCTTCTATCAAATATTTGAAAAAAATTCAAACAAGTTTTTGCCACTGGATAAAAAGCATCACTTTTCTTCCATTGTCCAATCACATACTTATTTTCTTTTAAAGTCTTACCAGAAGCATATTTAAAGTCTACATTTCTAAAACTGAAGATGTTTGAACCAACTAGCCCAATGAACCAATGGAGCAGGTAAACATCAATTCCTATCACTCTGAGAGCAGAAGAGCTAGACCAGACAGTGCCCGGCTATCACTACTAACTGAATGGGATCATGTCAGAAGGTCCCGGAAAGAGTGGAAGAAAATGTGGAAGAAAAATAAATTATAAAAAAATAAATAAAAGATTTACTGGTCAGAAAGACACTGGAGGAACCCAAGACAATTATCATCCCAACTTTCAGGTTTCAAACAGAATTCACCCTCATGGCCCAATTTCCAGCCAAGCAGGAACAGGTGTTATTAATGAGACAGCAATACTCACATGGTGTGCTCACCATGTAATGGTCAATCCTTCAAGATCAAATGGATAATGTTTATACCTAAGGACAAAGCTAAGAAGGAAAGGGAAGGAGAATGGAACGGAAAGAAGAACCACAGAGAGGAAGTGGGATAGCTGTTATTGCATAGAGGGGATTGCAATCATTGAGATGAAGCAAAGTATATGATTTGTTGAGTATAAGATTTGTAATCTTTTCTATAAACCTTTACTTAATTCACAAAGTAAAGTTTAAAAAATTACAAATAAAAAATAAAGACTGCATTTCCAGCAAAATTCTGTTGCTAGTACCATATACATTCTCTCTATAGTGCTCTTCAGTTCCTTATGAATCCTCACCATAATTTGAGCAGATAAGCAGAAATCCAGAAACACTAAGCTCCTACATTCTCTTGAGTCATTCCTACCCAATAGAACCAGACTCCTTACTCCTATCTGAAGAGATGACTCCATTTTTGTTTGCTAAACCACTTTTCCCAGTAAAATCATTAGCTCTCCTATTCCCATCTGATGAAATAAACCTGTCAAAAATCAGGCACCTTTCACCTATGTGAAAATTTTAGGGGTCCAGTGGTATGGGACATGTTGAGATACTCATTCTAAAGTAAAGAATAAGTTGTTGCATCTGGACCCTCCCATTACTAAAGTGAAAGAGCAACATCTGATGGGCCTTCTGGATGTTTTAAGAAAATTTGGGTGTGCTGTTGTTTTTGTTAAGTGCTGTGGAGTAGGTTCCAACTCATAGCAAGCCTGTATAGGGTCTCCAAGAAGTGGTTGGTGGGTTTGAACTACCAACCTTGTGATTAGCAGTCAAGTACTTATTCTATAGTGCCACACCAAGACTCCATTTAGGTGTGCTATTCTGGCCCATTTATCAAGATTCAGAAAGCTGCTAGTTTTGAGTTGGCCCAGAATAAGTGAAAGTGAAGGCTCTGCAACAGATTCAGGCTGGCATGCAAGTTGCTCTGCCACTTCTGCCTAGGATTTGGCTAATCCAATTGTCTTGTGTTGAAGACCCTTAGGGTTTTGGAGCAAAACCCTGCAGTCCTCTGCAGATAACTACTCTCCCTTTGACAAACAGCTTTTGACTTGCTACCAGGCCTTAGTAGAGACTGAGTGTTTAACCATGAACACCAATTCACCAGGGGGCGTGAGCTGCCCATCGTGAACTGGGTGTCATATGACTCATAGGGCCATAAAGTTGTACATGAACAGCAAGATTCTATCATTAAATAGAAGTGGTGTGAGATTGGACTTGAGCAGAACCTGAAGGCACAGGTAAGTGTGGTGCATGGTAAGTTGCCCAAATGCCTATGAGCTCCACTCCTGGCATATTACTTTCCTGCCAGTCTGTACCTATGGCCACCAGAGAGTTCCTTATGATCAGCTGACTGAGAAAGAGAAGATTCATGCCTGATTCACAGATAGTTCTGCATGATATGCAGGAAGCAATAGAAAAGGGGATAGTGAAAGTACTGCAAGCTGTTCTGGGATCTTCCTAAAGGACAATGGTGAAGGTAAATCCTCACAATGGGCAGAAATCCAAGCAGTGTGTCTGTTAGTTTAATTTGCATGGAAAGAGAATTGGCCAAATGTGCAACTGTACATGTATACTGAATCACAGCTGGGTAGTCAGGGACAAGGAAGGAATATGGTTAGAAAATTGTTGGCAAGGAAGAGTGAGGAAGAGATACGTGGGAAGACCTCTCTGAATGGGCGAAAGAAGTGAAGATATTTTTGTTTCATGTGAATGCTCACCAAAGGGTGGCCTCAACAGAGGAGGCTTTTAACAATCAAGTGGATAGGGTGACACATTCTGTGGAAACTACTCCTGTCACTGTCCAATGAACTCGTGAACAAAGTGGCCATGGCAGCAGGAATGGAAGTTATGCATGAGTTCAGCAGCATGGACTTCCAGTGATCAAGACTGACTTGGCTACAGCCATTGCTGAGTGTCCAATATGCCAGCAGCAAAGACCCACACTGACTCCACAATACTGAACCATTCCTCAGGGCGATGAGCCAGCAACCTAGTGGCAGGCAGGCTATATCAGATTACTTCCTTTATGGACAAGGCAATGTTTTGTTATTATTGGAATAGACACTGACTCACTGACTCTGGATACAGACTTACCTTCCCTACACATGATGATTCTACAAAAACTACAATCTGTGAACTTATGGAATGCCTTATCTACCATTGTGGTATCCCACATAGCATTGTCTTCAATCAACGGACTCACTTCACAGCAAATGAAGTATGGCAATGGGCCCATGCTCATAGAATCTACTAGTCTTACCAAACTCTCCATCATCCTGGATCAGCTGGCTTAACAGAATTATGGAATGCCTTTCTAAAGACAAAATTACAATAACAGCTATGTGGCAATACTTTGCAGAGTTGGGACTGTAAATGCTCTAAACTAGTATCTAATATATGGTGCTATTTCTCCTGAGCATCAGGATTCATAGGTCCAGGAATCAGGGGTGGAAATGGGAGTGGCATCATCACTTATTATTAACCCTAATGGCTTGCTTGAAAATTTTTTGCTTCTTGTCCCCACAATCCCACTATCAGTAGGTCTAGAGGTCTTAGTTTGAAAGGAAGGAATACTCTCACTGGGAGATACAACAATGACTCCATTGAATTAGAAGTTAAGAATGCCACTTGACAACTTTGGGCTTCTTGTGTCTCTGAACCAACAGGCTGAATAGGAATTTACCATACTGACTAATATGATTGACTCTGTTTACCAAGGGGGAACAGGATTAATACTATTTAATGGAAGTAAACAAAAGTGTGTCTGGAATACAGGAGACCCACTAGGATGTCTCTTACCATGTCCTGTGATTAAGGTAAATGGAAAACTATAGCAACTCAATTCGGATTTGACTACTAATGGCCCAGACTATTCAGGAATGAAAGTTTGAATCACCAAACCAGGCAAAGAACCGCCTCCTCCTCAGTGTTTACTGAAGGCAAAGGTAATATGGAATGGATGGTTGTTGCTGTTAGGTGCTAATGAATCGGCTCCAACTCACAGTGACCCTATGAACAACAGAACACAACACTGCCAGTCCTATGCCACAATCACTGTGCTCATTGCTGCTACCACTGTACTAATCCATCTCGTTGGGGGGTCTTCCTGTTTTGCACTGACCCTCCACTTCACCAGCATGATGTCCTTCTCCAGGACTGGTCCTGGAGATGATATGTCTGAAGTATGAGAGATGAAGTCTGGCCATCCTGGCTTCCAAGAAGCATTCTGGCTGTACATCTTTCAAAACAGAGAGATTTGCTTCTTCTTCTGGCAGTCCATGGTACTTTTAATATTCTTCTTTAACACCATAACTTAAATACATCAATTTTTCTATGGTCTTCCTTATCCATTGTCCAACTTTCACGTGTATATGAGGCTATTGAAAATGCCATGGCTTGGGTCAGGCACACCACAAACTGACATCTTTGCTTTTCAACACTTTAAAGAGGTCTTGTGCAGCAGAGTTGCCTAATACAATACATCATTTGATTTCTTGACTGTTGCTTCCATGAGTATTGATAGTGAATCCAAGCAAAATGAAGTCGTTGACAATCAGTCTTTTCTTCATTTAGTGTGATGTTATTGTTTTGGGCCACTGGAGAGGATTTTTGTTTTCTTAACATTGAGGTGCAATCCATACTGAAAGCTGTGGTCTTCGATCTTCATCAGTAAGTATTTTAAGTCTCTTCCATTTCAGCAAGCAACGTTGTAATATCTGTAAATTATGGATTGTTAAAGAGTCTTCCTCCAATCCTGATGCCAAATTTTTTTTTCAAATTACCTGGCTTCTTGGATTATTTGCTCCACATACAGATAGAATAAGTATGGTGAAAGAATACATCCTTGGCACACACCTTTCATGATTTTAAACCACTCGGTATTTCCTTGTTCTATTCAAACAATTGTGTCTTGATCTATGTGCAGTTTCCTCATGACCACAGTTAAGTCTTCCATAATGCTCATTCTCCACAACATTGCCCATAGTTTGTCATGATTCATACTTATTTGCATAGTCAATAAAGCACAAGTAAACATCTTTCTATTATTCTCTACTTTCAGCTAAGATCCATCTGATGTCAGCAGTGATATCCCTCATTCCACATCCTTGTCTGAATCTGGCTTGAATGTCTGGCAGTTCCTTATCAATGTACTATTGCAGACATCTTCAGTCATCTTTAGCAACATTTTACTTATATGTGATACTAATGATATTGTTCAATGACTTCCACATTCCCTTGGGTCATCTTTCTTTGGAACAGGCACAAATATGGATCTCTTCCAATCAGTTGGCCAGGCAGCTGTCATCCATGAAACAGGTAGTAGAAGAAAGTAATTCTAGATACCAGATACAACCACGTGACCAGTTGCAAGAAATGCGGACTGAAATTGTTATGCATACATCTTCCTCATTATACCACAGGTATATGTGTGTGTGTGTGTGTTTCCTTCTTTATTCCATTACTTATTATGAAATATAACCTGTAAATGGGCCTATTGCATTTTTGGTTGTACATCTTAGTTGTACCATGTTAGGCATAAGTATGACTTTATAATTCTCTTTATTTAGAGATTCTATAGGATTGGAGGAAGACTCATTAACAACCTGCAATGTGCAGATGATACAACCTTGCTTGCTGAAAGTGAAGAGAACTTAAAATATATACTGGTGAAGATCAAAGAGCACAGCCTTTGATATGGATTACATACATCTCATTGTAAAGAAAACAAAAATCCTCACCACTGAACCAATAAACAACATTCTCATCAACAGAGAAAAGATTGAAGTTGTGAAGGACTTCATTCTTCTTGGATCAATTATCAACACCCATGAAAGCAGCAGTCAAGAAATCAAAGGACATTTGCATTAGGCAAATCGGCTGCACAAGACCTTTTTAAAGTGTTGAAGAGCAAAGATGTCAGCTTGCGGACTAATGTGCGCCTGACCTAAGCCATGGCATTTTCAATAACCTCATATGGATGTGAAAGCTGGACAGTGAATAAGGAAGACTGGAGAAGAATTGATGCTTTAGAATTACGGTGTTGGAGGAGAATATTGGAAGTGCCATGGGTTGCCAAAAGAACCAACAGATCTGTTTTGGAAGAAGTGCAGCCAGAGTGCTCCTTGGAGGCCAAGATGGCCAAACTGCATGTCTCATACTTTGGACATATTGTCAGAAGGGACCAGTTGTTGGAGAAGGATATCATGTTTGGCAGGGTGGAGGGTCAGAAAAAAAGAGAAAGACCCCCAATGAGATGGATTGGCCAAGTGGCAGCATCGATGGACTCAAGCGTGGCAACAGTAGTGAGGTTGGCCCAGGATCAGGCAGTGTTTCGTTCCGCTGTGCACAAGTCGGTACCTACTTGATGGGACCTAACAACAACAACATAGGACTTAATGAAATGTTCACAGGTGTCAAGTTGACAATGCTGGAATGTTATAGATAATGTACTGTGTTACTTGGCCATGATTCTAAGTACAGTGCAATTGCCCTCCATTGACTTACC